TATTTAGAGTGGAAATAGCTGGAAAATTTAGGTGAAAGCTTCTTGTTGGTATACGCTGTCTTAATTTATTCTCGCTTGGGAAAAGGGAAATATTTAATGTGCCAACTTTCAATGCTTTCTTGAATTCTGCGACTTCAAGGTCAAGGATGTAAGGCACCGAGTGCTGTTGTGGCTGGAGCTAATTCTACAAATATGGCGAAACCTGCAAAGCTTATTCCACTGAGGAAAGAAAACACTCCTGTTGCAGCCTTCGAGAAAAGAGGTGGTGAGCGCCAACTGGATAAAGATAGGAAAAAGGACATCCCTCATCCGAGGATGCAGTTTAATGATGAAAATAAAGTTGAGAAGGCAAAAAAGCGATCTATGGTGAAACAAATAGAAGCCAGGAATAAGGCTGAGCTCTTTAGGCATCTACCTCAGTATGAACATGGAAGAAGGCTTTCTGATTTGGAATCAAAGTTCTTCTAACTTGATTCCGTTCATTCTGCTGTTTACAAGGTACGTTTTTTTTCTTTTCTTTTCTTTTCTTTCCTCCTACTCATTTACACTAACTGTTGACATTGTTGTAACTTATAAGACAAGAGCATGTTTTGTCTCTTGAATGGAAATCTTGAGCTGAACTTTTTAGGTTAACTACAAAAATGAGCCCTGATGTTTAGTCTAATTACGAAATTCTCACCATCTTTCATTCCCGGAGGAGCTATTTATGTTTGCAATAGTTTGGTCACTTTTATCAACATCACGCTTAAAAGGGCGATTTCAGAATTATGCCTATTTCCAATTCCAACACAATTAAACTAGTGCGTAGCCCATGTGATGCACGTGTATACAATACTAAATAATAATTATAAATTAAAGATGTGAATAAATAATATTAAATAATAATTATAAATTAAAAATATGAATAAATAATATTAATAATAATTATAAATAAAAAATATAGGTTAACATGTGATATAATTTACTTATATCACTTTGTTGTAAATAATATGAAATTATCTTGTATAAAATAACATAAAACATGTACATTTAAAATATTGAAAACACTTAAAATATTATATAACATATGTAAAATTATCTAAAATATTCTATATTATTCTTGAAAAAACAACTAAAATATTATTTAACATATATAATAGTATCTAAATTATTCTACATTATTCTTGACAAATGTGAAATCACCTATAGTTTTTCTAAAATTTTTCGTAAAATAATTTTGCCTAAAAACACTTATATCTAACATATATATGTATATATATAAAGCTGAATTTTATGAGAGAATATAGATATAAAATAAATTTATACGACGATCGTATAAAGTTATGTTATCAATTCAAAATATTTGAATATTGTTTTTTTTATGCATAATAGATATTTAGATACCGGAATTATCATAAAAAAAAAGTTGTGAGTTCAAAATTATTTTCAAAATAAGTGCATGCCGGTTTATGCATAATAAATATTTGGATACCACAATTATCATAAAAAAAGATGTGAGTACAAAATATTTTGAAACTTAGTATGTATAATAAATATTTAGATACCGAAACTGTCATTAAAAAAAAGATGTGACTACAAAATATTTTGGAAATTAGTTTTAAATGCACGACGAGATTTATGGATACTCAAAGATACCGAAATTATCATAAAAACAAGATGTGAGTACCAAATGTTTTAAAATTTAGATGTACGTATTTCTTTAAAAAATGTTGCGCCCAGATTTGTACATCAAATTGAATACTTGATGCTTAATAAATATTTGAATACCAGAATTATCATACAAAAAGTTGTGAGTAAAACATATTTTCAAACTCAGTATGTATAATAAATATTAAGATACCAGAATTATCATAAAACAAAAAGATGTGAAAAGATGTGACTGCAAAATATTTTGAAAAGTTTTAAATGCACGCCGAGATTTATGGATATTCAATATTTAGATACCGAAATTATCATAAAAAAAATGTGACTAGAAAATGTTTTGAAAATTAATTTTATACGTTTAGCAAGTGCACGAGATTTATGCATTATAAATATTAGGAGAGAAGCGGGGTCACAAGATTCAGTACAATATTTTTTTAAAAAAGGTTCTTAGCGTAAAGAAAGGATTGTATGTGTCGAGATTTGTGCATCAAATTGAATACTGCATTTTTTATTACTATTTATAGTATATATTTAATATTTTTGGCGGAAATTGCTTTCTAAATGTGGTAAATAGTTAATCTATATCTATATATATATGGATGGTAAGTATGCAATTTATGTTCGTCAGGTTGGGCTGCAGTATCTAGCCGGAGACATTTCCGGTGGCAACACCCGGTGCATTGCCATGCTTCAAGCTTTCCAAGAATCCATCAAGGACTACACCACCCCTCCAGACAAGGCCCTCGCTCGGGACCTGACCGCAAAAATAAACACTTATGTCTCTTTTCTTATCGAATGCAGGCCACTCTCTATGAGCATGGGGAACGCGATCAGATTCCTCAAATCTCGAGTCACCAACCTATCCCCAAATCTGTCTGAGGTGGAGGCAAAAGCCCATCTCATTTCTAATATTGACCGCTTTATAGAGGAGAAGATTATTCTGGCGTTTAAAGTTATCGTCAAGCATACTGTCACCAAGATTAGGGATGGTGATGTGCTCCTCACGTACGGTTCCTCTTTTGCTGTTGAGATGATATTTTCGCATGCCCATGAGCTTGGTAGGAAGTTCCGGGTGGTGATAGTTGATTCACGTCCCAAGCTCGAAGGCTCCGCAGGCTTGTGGGTAGGGGTATCAGTTGTACATACACTCATATAAATGCAGTTTCATATGTGATGCACGAGGTGACAAAGGTGTTTCTGGGGGCGTCTTCGGTTTTGTCTAACGGGGCAGTTTACTCTAGGGTTGGTACGGCCTGCGTGGCCATGGTTGCTAATCAGTTTCGTGTCCCAGTCATGATCTGCTGTGAGGCTTACAAGTTTCACGAGAGAGTTCAGCTTGATTCGATTTGCTCAAATGAGCTTGGTATGATAACAAACACCCCTGAGATTTTGTCTAATTACACGAAAACCTGGATATACTTTGGAGTCACTACTAAATACTCGGTATTTGTATTTTTGTTAAGAAAATTGAAACTAAGGTGGTGGTGTTTTTGGTTATTGGGGAGATATTTTATTTTCATTTTTGTATTTAGTTATGTAATTACATTAGTGTATTGCTTTCTAACGTCTGCGTTTGCTGTCATGTCCCCTTACTGGTGATCCTGATGTGGTTTCAAAGGTTTCTGGGAGAGAAATCAATTATTTGGATGGTTGGGCCAAGAATGAGAATTTGCTTCCTTTAAACTTGATGTAAGGACTTGTAATTGCTTATGAATTTTAGTATTATGCAATCAAACGACAAACGGTGTTATGATAGCTTACTTTGTTATTTACTTATACCAGATATGATGCCACACCTTCGGATTACATATC